CACAGATGTGGGATGAGGGCACAGAAGTGGGATAAGGGCACAGAGGTGGGATAAGGGCACAGATGTGGGATAAGGGCACAGAGGTGGGATAAGGGCACAGAGGTGGGATAAGGGCACAGATGTGGGATAAGGGCACAGATGTGGGATGAGGGCACAGATGTGGGATAAGGGCACAGATGTGGGATAAGGGCACAGGTGGGATAAGGGCACAGAGGTGGGATAAGGGCACAGATGTGGGATAAGGGCACAGATGTGGGATAAGGGCACAGATGTGGGATAAGGGCACAGATGTGGGATAAGGGCACAGGTGGGATAAGGGCACAGATGTGGGATAAGGGCACAGATGTGGGATAAGGGCACAGATGTGGGATGAGGGCACAGATGTGGGATAAGGGCACAGGACAAGGTTAAACCTCCTGAGCTCGGGGCAGGGCTGAAATCCATCATTCCCTCAGTAAACCAGAGGAACTTCCCTCAGCTTTGCTGTTTTCCCCCCCCAGTGCAGCTCCTGGGACTCGTTCCAAGGCTGATTTCTTGGAGGGTGATGGATGTGCAGGGCTGGACAGCCCTTGGCTGGGGACAAAAACCTGCTGGCCTCGAGCTCAGGGGCTGCACTGAGGGTTCCTCACCTTGTTTGGGCTGCCCTGAGGGGGAGCTGGAGACAACAAGTGCATTTATTTTACAGAGGGGCTTTTCCCCCTCCTCTTGGAAGTTTGTAGACTAAATAATCAGACAGATTCTCATTAATGTGGGGCCATTATTATTATTGCCATTATTATTATTACCATTTTTATAGTTAATTTCTATTATTGATTATATTATATATAAATATATCTATTATATATATAATCAGATAGATTCTCATAAATGCAGGGCCATTATTATTATTACCATTATTATAATTTTCTATTCTCGATTATATTATCAATTATATTATCTATTATACATAAATTCTTTTTGTATAATATATTGTATTTTTATATTTTATATACTATATATAATTTATAATATAATACATAATTATTTTTATATTTTATATTATTTTTGTTCAAACCTGTCTGTGACTTTACTTTGTTTTCCACACCCTTAATTCCCATTCTTGGCTGGATGTACAGCTCGGGTCTGACCAGGGCAGGTTTTACCCTTTTTATTCCCACTGGGAATTCCTGTAGGCATGAAATGCAGCAGGAATGTTGGGAGGAAAAGAAAAATTTAATCAGGTTGCTTTTTAAACCTCCCCGAGAACACAAACCCTGTTTGCTGCCTCTGGTGGGGTCTGGGAGGAACAGACAAGCAGAGCTGTAAATGCAGCCCCTGCACTGCAACAATTCCAGGTTTGGGAGGCAGAACGAGTGGGATCTGCTGCTTTGGGCAGGATTTGGGAGCTCCTGGGGCTCTGTGCTGCCTGTTTGGCCCCTCTGAGGTGAGCCAGCAAGGGGAGGGGGAAGGTTCCAGGGGGAAGGTTCCAGGGGCGAAGTCCCTCCCCTGGGAGCAGAATCTGTGCCCTCCGACTGTGCTGAGCTCTCTTTGCCGGGGCAAAAGGCACCAAGAGCAGGATAAAGCAGTGCAGAAGCACCTCCTGGCTGCTCCTCTCCCAGTGCCTGGGCAGCCCAGCCCTGCCCTCAGGTTCCTTCATCCCGTGCCAGAGCCCGGGAGTGGAAATGTGTGCACAGCCCCCAGTGTTTTCCTAAGTCTTTGCAGGATGCCAGAAGCCCTGAAATCAAAGGATTTAATGTGTGTTCCCAAAGCTGGGAGCAGGGAACGCCGTCCCTGCTTTTCCAAACAGTACATTCAGTCCCTCTGGGTTATCCCAGCTCAGCCCAGACCCACCTGTGCCTCCCTCCCTGGGCTGTCCAGCAATTTGAAGACCACAGTGGCTGAGTCCCCACCTTAACATATTTCTTAAATAAATGCACCAGAGGTATTTTATTGAACATATTCCCCCCCCAAAACATCCTTAGCAAAATATTTGTCGTCCGCCCTCTTCCTCTGCGTGCACCCACACGGGCTTCGAATAGGCCATACTCTAAATATATCGAATTTCTGCAGCTTTTAGAGGTTCACAAATAGATCTGGGTACCTGAGGGCAGCCCAGGGCTTTGGCCAGACAGTGGGCAGACGAGGTCTGGCTGAACACCCCGGGCTGTGCTGCTATTTCTGTCCTTCCTTTCCCTTCTGGGTGGATGTGGAGCGTGAAAAACCCTCAGTTCAAAGCCCTCAGTTCAAAGCCCGGTGTGGCTCCAAGGCTCTGGTTCTGCCAGGTTAGGAGTGGGTTCAACCATCCCTGGGAGTGTCCAAGGCCAAGCTGGAGCAACCTGGGCTGGTGGAAGGTGTCCCTGCCCACAGCAAGGGGTGGAACTGGACGAGCTTTAAGGTAAATCCTCCTCTTATCCAGCTTTTTGCCGTGGAAATCAGTGGGAAGTCTCTCCACACCCTGGGATGGTCCCCACCAGCTCAGCCCTGGGCTCTGCGTCCTCCAGCTCCCAGAAATGTTTGACTCTAAATGTTTGTTTGTCTGTTTGTTATGACAACAGTGTTTAAAACATTGTTTCTCCCCTCGGTGTAAATGTTTGCTTCTCTAAACATAAACCCGAGTGCAACTTGACTTCTGCTGCCCTGAAGGGTCTTTAGACCTCTTTGCTCCAGAAAAATATTAAGTTGGTTTGGGGGACAATCCTTAGCACCTCTTTATTCTAGACAAATGTTAATTAAGGTGGTTTTGGGGACAATCCTTAGCACCTCTTTATTCTAGACAAATGTTAATTAAGGTGGTTTTGGGGACAATCCTTAGCACCTCTTTATTCTAGACAAATGTTAATTAAGGTGGTTTTGGGGACAA